ATAGTCAATATAGAACGAGATCTACGGAAAGCCACGGTCGTTTATAATTTTGTCTAGATGTATGAAATTCGTGATTCGTTGTAGAATCAAATTGTATTAGTCAACTCCTTCGATCCGTCTGTTTTCTGTTAAGCTTCTTTTAGAAATTAGAAATAGTACCTTCAATGAAAGCTGTGAATGAATACAATTTATGAAATTTGTTATATGTAAAAAGTAATATATTTTTCATTATGATGTTGCAGCCACGTATTCAGAATCATTTATCCACTCGGATCAGAAACATTTACTTATTGGGACGTGTATGTTCCATCAGAGTCGAAAGAGTTAAGATCCAGGGAACGAAATCGAACTTACGTTCTCACTTTTAGATTTATACTTGTCAGTGGTAGTAGTGTTGCCTCCAACGACAGACGAAGGAATAGTTGGAGAAATTTATGTGTCGTATTAATATTAATCGAATCTCAATGATACTATATTCTATTTACATTATATTATTTTTACACAGTGGGACTTCCATTATGGGAATTAATTAAGCAGCAAATATGTCGGATAACAACAGCTTCCCTTATTTTAAATTTCGTGGTAATTATTTACATTAGCAATTCCTTCAATAACCTTACAACATATATATTGATTTATGATTTTGAACTATTATCTATCATGTTACCGCCGCTCGGATTTTGTGATATTTATAAAAATTCATTTTACGATTTTAAATTTGACTGATTTTAAATGATTTTTAGATTCGTGGTATACTCTTTCATAAGTGATGCTACAATTTCAGTAATCATTTTTTTTAAATTGAGAATTTATTATTGGTTTACAAAATTTGCACCAATCCAACATAATCTTCCGATTGTGACAAAGTAATAATAATATAAGTACTGTGATTAACGTACTGTGATTACGCGACACTCTATTTATAAACAGTCACAAGAAGATATTTCTATTCCGTATCGTATTCTATAAGTATCGTTCCAACCACATCATCTATTGAATTATATAGGAATAGTTATATTTTTCGGATTTTCGTTGATAACCCGAAAACACCTAAATCTGACCATGATCTGACACCTAAATATACTGATGATATTATTAAATTGATAACATTAAATTTAAGATTAAATTTCATATCATATAAAATTTGATTCTAGTATCAGATTACTTTTCATGCTAGATTTAATTCAAATGTAATCTAAAACTAATTCAGAGAAAATCATTCAAGAAAATATTATTAAATATATACTAGATTTTACTATATATTACTGGATAATCAAAACCGAATGGCAACGTAACACAGGGAAAAGTTATTACCGACAACATATTTCGTGCTGATCAAAATCGATGAGGAATCGATAATATAATTTCATATATTTTTAACATAAAACGTTAAGAATCCCATAATTTTTTAGCCACTGTCATATTTTTTTAGATAAGTAATTGTTTGAAATTGCATGTTTTCTGTACTTCATATTACTTAATCCTCTAATTCTAATTTCAGAACGACAACATACATTTTCTTGTCGTTATATTTAACTAATTTTTTATATTTAACTTTATTTTTACTTATCACTAATCATTAATTTCCTGATGACATACTCTTTAATATTTTTCAAACTATATATATATTCATTATATTTTAAGTAATTATTTTTATTTCTATTGATCACTTAATCTTCTAATAATATACTTTTCAATACTTTTTTTTATTGCTAAAGCATATATATTCATTATATTGCTAAGCATATATATTCATTATATTCATTATATTCATTATATTGCTAAGTGTATATATTCATTATATTTTAAGTAATTATTTTTATTTCTATTGATCACTTAATCTTCTAATAATATACTTTTCAATACTTTTCTTATTGCTAAAGCATATATATTCATTATATTGATAAGCATATATATTCATTATATTCATTATATTGCTAAGTATATATATTCATTATTTTTTATTTCTATTCATCATTTAATTTTCTGATAACACACTTTTCAATATTTTTCGTATTGCTGAAGTATAAATATTCATTATATTTCACTAACATATAGATATTCATTATATTTCACAACTAATTATTCTTTATTTCTATTTATCATTTAATTTTTTAATAACACACTTTTCAATACTTTTCGTACTGCTAAAATATAAATATTCATTTATATTTCAACTAATTATTCTTTATTTCCATTTATCATTTAATTTTCTATTGATTATTAATTTTCTAATAACATACTTTCGCATTGCTATTTATTTAACATTATATTTCATTATTTACCTCTATCTTTTTTTCATTATTTTTTATTATTCATTCTATCTATTTTTCATTATTTATCTATGTTCTATGACTAATCATTGATTCTATACAATCCCAATAGTTTTTAAGGATTTCCATACAATATTCAGTTTTTCCGATGAAACTCATTGAATCAAGTAAATATTGAAATATCGAGTATATAATGAATACTGTAAAAGTATGTATACTTTTAAAATATGTATGATTTTAATAATTAATTCAATATTTACTTGATTCAATGAGTTTCATCGGAAAAATTGAATGTTGTATGGAAATCCTTAAAAACTACTGGGATTGTATAGAATCAATGATTAGTCATAGAACAGATAAATAATGAAAAATAGATGGAATAGAATAAGATAAATAATAGAATAATAGAAATAATCAAAAAAAAAAGATAGAATAGATAAATAATGAAATATAATGAAAAATAATTAGTTGAAATATAGTGAATATCTATACTGTAGCAATACGAAAAGTATTGAAAAGTATGTTATCAGAATGATCAATGATCAATAGAAAATTAAATGATAATGAAAAATAGATAAAATAGATAAAATTGAATGTTGTATGGAAATATTGCGCAAAAAAGCATGCATTATTCGGATATTACAACATTCCGATAGTGAAGGTTCTACTGTATTAAAATATCGTTCTGAAAAACACCAGTTTCCGACATGGAACTTTGAAGGGTTAGGGGGAATGGGAGAAAATCTCAAATGTGAAATTTTAGTTTCAAATCAGTTTCAGAGATATTAATAAATAACTTTCGGCACAGCACACTGAATTCTGAAGTCAGTCTCAATATCTATAACACATCTCGCAAATACTGTTGTGTTTCATTTATTTAAAATTATTATTTAAAATTATTATTTATTTAAAAATACTTACAGTATTAATAAAATGTTTATTAATATCTTAAATGTCTATAAATGTTTTATTAATATCTTCGAAACTAAAAATACTTATTAAAATTAAAATTTTATATTAGAGGGATTCTCCCTTTATTTGGCCCTTCAAAATTGTATGTCGATCACGGGTTTTCCGGAACCTTACATTATTTATGATTTAACGAATTAATCACAAATAGCTTTTACACAGAAATTGTAACGGAATTTTCTTTGAATCGTCTGTCGTTGGTTATTCGCAGCGCCACTCAGCCGTATTAATTTAAATAGGCATATCTGATGAAAAAATGGTTTCAAACATGAGATTTTAAACAACTTTCAGTATTTAACAATCAGATTTCATCGATTTCATATCTGAGACATAAACTGTTTAATACAGCTTTTTCCAACGCTTTCATTCAATGTATTAAAAAATATATCAGCATATCTAGTTTTCTGTAATAATTTTGTGGAAAACAAAACACACGTTTAAAAAAATCTATTTTCACACGTATAAAAGTAATGTGCACACTAGCAATTTACATTTATAACGGAATGTCATTAGAAAGGCTACAACCTTTTATAACTCCAATTGAAATGTCATCGAATGATCGTGAACATCGTGAACATTAGCAAAGAAACGATAGTTTTCAAATCACAGAAATATTCTACATCCTATTTCTTTGAATAGATGGTAGAGCTGTAGAAGATAGCGTTACAAATGATGATAGTGTCACATAAATTTACTTAACTATGAATAAATTATTCTTGTATATAATAAACATTCTTGTATATAATAAATTTTACATAAATTACTTTTGTTAATTCAGTTGAATTAGATTTTTATAATTTATTATCATTATTAGAAATTATTATCATAATTATTATTGTTGTTATTATTATTATTATCATTAGAAGTTTTTCTTTGCAGCTCTACCATGTATTCGAACAGGATACAAGTATTTTTATCTGGCAGTAATGATTCAAGAGAAAGTTAGATATCCTTCTGATGGCATTTTTTATTATTTAACTTCCCGTGAAATTGTAATGGTCCATATCACCATGGTCTGAATATAAATGGACCAGTTGTTAACTGTGATTTCGTTACATTGTAACAAGTGCGCATATATTCGTATTTCTTAAGTCCAGTACAAAAGAATGATTTATAATGTATTCGCCGCGACAGCAAGTTTCCGCTACGTGAAAATATTAATTTATAAGGAGCAATTCACATGAGACGCAAATTTTAGCGGCAACTGTAATTCGTTCAACTAGTCGAGATAGTAACTTTTAAGCACGACAGAAGTAGTTTCGATCAATAATTTTTTTGGATATTGAAAAGTAAAATGGACAAATAAAAATAGGTTACATAAATAATGAACTAGATAAAACAAGCAATATTTTACAATGTAAATAATCAATATTTTATTACTTTGATTGTCAATTATTATCGCTATTATTTATTAGTTATTATTATAATTATTTTTATTATTATTATTTATATTTATAATTATTATTTATATTTATATTTGGCTATTGTTCACAGCCATAGGTGCTTAAACATACTAAGTTATGGAGCACGTTTATGACCACGTACCGTTGGTCTTAGCACAAAATTAACACAAAAAATACAAATATACAATATAACATAACATAATATAATATAATATAATATAATATAATATAATATAATATAATATAAATTTTATTATTATTATTTATATTTATAATTATTATTTATATTTATATTTGGCTATTGTTCACAGCCATAGGTGCTTAAACATACTAAGTTATGGAGCACGTTTATGACCACGTACCGTTGGTCTTAACACAAAATTAACACAAAAAATACAAATATAATACAATAACTAACTAATAAATTATAACGAATTAGACATGCAAATATAATACAATAATTGTGAATTAGAAAAGAATATTAAATGAATAACGATGTAGACTGTATTTGATTTGATTGAACTGATACAAATACACCTCTAAAATTAATAACTGAATATATTTGACATCAATAATAATAATAACAGCGATAATAATAGCGATCATGGTATAGCTTCTGTCTTGTGCACGTGAATATTTTGTTTGCGTCTGATCCCTCGTCTCGTTGAACGATCTTTAGTTGACAAATTTGCTTCCGCCAAGACGGACTTACTGCTTAGCTAATAAGGAAGGGAAATTCGTCGCATCGCGGTTTTCTATTGTATTCTATTGTATTTTTATTGTTTTCGAAACAACTGTTTTGTATACAATAGTCTCCCAATAGTATAATACGGTTAATATGTTACGCGTATGTATGAATTCGTCTTACACGCGAGTCTACTGTAGATCAATCCAGACGAGCGATTTGCAGTAATTTCAGCGCGATGCTTTTTTAGGTACGAAAGCGAATGCAAAGCTCGACGGTGAATTAACGCAAACCGCTCGTGCGAATTTTAAGAAAATGTTGGACGCGCGAGCTTGAAATTACCGTGGCGGCGAATTTGTTACAAACCGCTCATCTGTACAGAATCTCATGGGGTCGATTTGCGTCGAACGCGACTAATCCATTGTACGTGTACGTGTCTTCTTTCCGTAGGTTAAAAAAAAAAAAAAAATCTCGTATACCTCTTGTCGTAAGTATCGTCTAGAGCACGCACGCGCGCGAAATTGTTGCACCGTAAGTAGGATTATTTATAGGGGAAGGGGGACGCGATCGTGTTCGACGAATTTATTTTTTCCTTTCATTTTCGATTTTCATTTTTTCTTGTGTCAATCCTGTTTGTATAACATAATGTACACGCGTATGTATAAAGTACGTATGTACAACATAATGTACACACATTCCAAAATGGCTGACGAATGCATAAAAAAAAAAAAGGAATCATTAGTCTATAAGTGCGAGAGCGAAAAATAAAATTGTCGACATGATCAATAAGCGTGTATATAAGTTCGTTCAGCGTATACATGTACATAATCGTATATAAATATCTACATGTGAAAAATCAGTTTGTTATAAATGAATCGTTATTATTTGTTCGTAGCACAATCGTGTAAGACTCGTCCATTCGACGTGAACGATGTTCGTTGAACAATCGATCGAAATTCACACGTGCGGATTTTATTAAAAAAAAAAAAAAATGGATCAGTTTGAAAACCAAACAACATTTCCTTGACGGTATATATGTGCATATATTTATTATTATCAACAAATCGAAGTAATAAATGAATCTATGAATTTCATTAATCAACTCCTTTTCGTCATTTCTACCTCAATTTCGATCAAACGATTATGGCGGACTGAAGCGAAATTAAAACTTTGACAAGAAAAAGACTGTCAAGAAACCCAAGAATAATACAGATACTTTCAACTGTGCAGAACTGAAGAACCAAGACTCCTTTGGAATCGGTCGAAAAAAAAATCGAGCGCACTGCCGTGCAGATTGTTCTGAAAAATTCATTTCGACTATCAGCTACCGTCAAAGCGTTATCATTAAGCGATATTCGATCGGAAAGATTCGAAGTCGTCGTACAGGTCGACCGAGTGTCAGGTATTGAGCGAATCCAATGCGATCTGGAATCGAGATCGAAATCCCTGCGACGAAGGTTTCGCACGGCGCGACGCCAGCTGCGGAACAACGACGAGAGAGAGAGAGAGAGAGAGAGAGAAAAGGAACGAAATTCATAACCTAAAATTTCCTCGCGACATTAAAGAAACTGGAGCGGCCATTCAAAGCCGGCAGCCAGCTTAGGGAATAGAGTATGAAAATATAAAAGCGAGAAGAAGGCATAGGAGTCGTCAGGTTCCCGTCAAACGGCACCTCTCGTCCTACTCCCTTTTCCTGTACGTCTATACATGTACGTACGTGTAAAAAAGATTTTTTTTTCTCTATGCTCGTTCGATCGGTGCATTGAAAAGTCTCGCTGCGAATCGTTCGAAGGTGACCACCCTTTGCTTTTATAGGGCACGACACGAGTAGAAACGAAGAACAAGGAGAGTCGTGATCGCCCTTCATCTTCACCCCAATGGGCATTGCGTTTCGCTATAACTACCCTCTGTTTAGAGGCCAATTGTATCGGCGCGGGCACCTTTTTCACTCTGCTCACCCTGAGAAACCCCGCTGGCTCTGTTGGCCCGTTTCCTCGGTAGGGTGCGTACTTTCCTCTCTCCTTTTCTTTCTTCTTCTCGCCGGGTAGGACTCGTGCGTACATTATACGTACTCTCATGCGTTCCCGCGTACCGATAACGGGGCGCGAACTCCTTTCTCCCTTCGACGACGCACGCTTCCGGCCAAACCTCTTGACCGCCCTTTAATCGCACGTTTTTTTTCCATTCGATGCTGTTACGCGTCTTCCGCGCCACGGGAAATCTGAATGGCAGCTCTCGTCGTTGTCTGTAGACGTTGTTATTATTGTCGACTCGATCTTTTTCGAACACGAAAATGACACGAAAGCGTGAAAGAGTCTAGTGATGTCTTTTTTGCGAGATTTACTGTTTTAAAAAACGTCTCTTTTTTATAACTTCTACCCTTCTGGCATACAGTGGCGAGCACGTAAATAGAGAAACGAGACGGAATTGAATCAAATTAAGTGAGGTAAATTCAACTAATCACGCGTTATGAAAAGTTTCTTGCAGCACGAAATACACAGAACGTTGTTCAAGTTCTTATCCCTGAATAATAGTCAATAAATCATATCGAAGAATGAAACACAACGAAAATTAGAACGAAATAACCGAGTGTTTCTCACAGTTGTAGAGAAACTTCAACCCTCGTCAACTGGCATCCGTCGGGAGGCCTATTTGGCGGCGATAAAGTCAAAAGAAGAAACTGACATAACCTTGACGCTCGACTCGCCACGAAACAATCGAGAGCGACGATCGAGAGAGCGGAGTAAAAAGAGGGTGAAAAGAAAGGCATTATCGGGTCCAAAGTGGACCGGTCAGGCCTCTTTAACGAGATCATTGTCGGCGCTGACTGGTAGGCAAAAGTGTTTCAACGTACAAGCACTCGAGTCCTATGCTATTGTTTTCGTCGAACGGGTTGAAACAATGTCCCATTCTGAATCAAAAAACAAAAAAAAAAAAAAAAAAGAAACTCTCTCCTACGGATGATACAATGCGCCTAACTGTTTTCGCAATGCTCTGACCCGTGGTGCTTGATGTCGCTATCGTAAATGAAAAAGTGGCATCCTCGAGGATCGAACAGCATCGAAGGGACGAGAAAAGACTGCTTCAGCGAGAGGGGGTGGAACGAAGAGAATTCGTTTCCTCTTGACTCGGTTGCATTATTAAAGCGTCGTTCTTTGTGCCACCTTGTTGATCCATCTTGAATATAGCTCGATAGTGTTCTTGGACATTTGGCCCGAGTGCAGTGCAGTAAAAATATATTCGGGACGTGGTTAGAATCCGCGGAGGGTAACATATGCCACGAGTTACAACGACGACTCGAACAATTTACTTGGAAAACAGAGCCAAAGGACCGTAACGAGTCGAACTGATTCTGGCTTCGTGGCGCATTGATGATTAGTTAATTAAACGTTGTGGTTGAAACGATACCGAGGTGAACGCGGAATCCATTTCGGTTACGTGCAAAGGGCGAGGACGTTTGCAGGGGAAACCAGAAGCCTTTCTCGTGCTAGGCGAGACTGATTGAAAAAGACGATGTCACGTGTTTGCTCCTTCCGACAGCCCTCTTCCATTGCTAATGGATGTATTCTCGCCATGCGATAGAACGGAGAAATATTGTGTAACGATACGATAATCATTGCACAGAGAATTTCCTATATTTATCGATAGGTTTCTTTCAAGAAGAAAATGTTGTATACAACATTCTTGTACATATATTTAATAGTGGTACAAAAGAGTGATATTGTTCAAGCAATTGTACGTACGAATTTAGAAAACGCTACTATCATTTCTCGTAAAGTGAGAGAACAAAGATACATTTATCGTATTTCTCCCTGAAAAGAAAGTAGACTTCATTTTCTATATAGAATTCAAAGTAAA